AATATAATGTAATATAATGTAATATAATGCAATATAATGTAATATAATGCAATATAATGCGATATAATGTAATGTAATGTAATGTAGTGTAATGTAATGTAATGTAATATAATGTAATATAATGTAATATAAGGTAATATAAGGTAATATAATGTAATATAATGTAATATAACGTAATATAATGTAATAACGTAATATAATGTAATATAATGTAATATAATGTAATATACTGTAATGTCATGTAATAGAATGTAATATAGTGTAGTGTAATGCAATATGATGCAACATAATGCAATATAGTGCAATATAATGTAAAATAATGTTATATAATGTAACATAATGTAACATAACATAACACAATATATTATGTTACAAGACAATAAGAGAAAATATGATGCAACATTCGAGTACATGTACCTATGTATGCATGTATGTATGTATGTATTTACGTATGTATGTATGTATGTATGTATGTATGTATGTATGTATGCGTGTATGTATTTATGTAATGTCATTTATTTATGCATGTATGTATGTCTGTATGTGTGTATGTGTGTATGTATCTTTGCATGTATGTATGTATGTACGTACGTATGTATGTGTGTGTATGTGTGTATGTCTGTTTGTTTGCATGTCTGTATCTATGTTTGTTTGTGTGTGTGTGTATGTGTATGCATTCCTGCATGCCTGTATGCCTGTATGGCTGTACGTATGTATGTCTGTATGTATGCATGCATGCATGCATGCATGCATGCATGCATGCACGCAAGAATTGTTGTAGGCATGTATGCATGTATGTTGTATGTACGTATTTATGTAATTATGTATGAATGAATTTATGTATGAATGTATGCATGCATGTACTTAGATATGTACATATGCACGTATCAGCGTATCTATGTATGTATGGATGGAAGGATGGAAGGACCGGAAGAAAGGATGGATGGATGCATGCATGCATGCATGCATGCATGCAGGCACGTATGCATGTATGCAGGTAGATAGGTAGGAAGGTAGGTGGGTAGGTAGGTAGGTAGGTAGGTAGGTAGGTAAGTAGGTAGGTATGCATGCGCAAGATAGGTTGGATGCCGAGGTCATCGGAGGATGAGACGTCAGAGCCCATCGGAAAGCTGCAAGCTGCTGAAAACTCAATTTTCGCTTCGCGCTGGGAGCGTTTCACTCCGTACATTGCCGACGCTCTGCTGCAGTGTGTGAGCGGTAGACACCCATCAAGCTGTGACTTTATGCCGTCCAAGGAGTATTGGGGCACACTGGCCGATGTCTCAGTTTGCTCTGAGGGCTGCTATCGCTACCAGAATCGATCGGTCCAGGTTTGCCCTAAGCCTTGAGTCAAGACCGACATCAAATGGCGACGCCTGTTGTCGTGATTCCTAGAGCTCAGGTCGTGACTGCCACATTTCTGTGCAACGTTGATGTGGGCCATGGGATAGATCCTTCCTTCAGGTCCATCTGTCATGCGGCTTGGCTGCCAGGGAGAGCTGTTTTGAGTCATTGGGCGATGTGTTCGAGTGGTCGAGCTGCAGGCGTTCATGGTGGTGGGCATGGCGCGATGCTGAGAATTTCCCAAAGAGCCCAATACCCTTAATTAAGCAATATACCTTAAATTATAGGGGCCTTAATATTATGATTTAAGGCATATTCCTGAATTAAGGGGTATTGGGCTCTCTGGGTTCTGAATCCACAGCTTCAGTCGGGCGAAGAGTCAGAGCGAGCGAGGTATCAGCAACGAAACACGTGACGGGATCCAGTCTGAACCCGCATCCCGGCCTGAATGCAGAGGAAGCCCACTGCTAATATAGGGGCCTTAATAATTAGAATAGGGTTTGGGGTATATTGTATGAGGAACCCCAAAATCCCATTCTAATTATTAAGGCCCCTACATTACGCCCTTAAACCCTAAACCCTAAGCCTTAAACCCTAAGCCCTAAGCCCTAAGCCCTAAGCCCTAAACCCCTAAACCCTAAACCCTGAAAGCTCTAGAGCCTGAAAGCCCAAGATTTGAGGCTCCAGCCTCCGACCCTACGCTGATTCATATTCCTCGAATCCAGGTACACTCGTAAACACTCTAATCCTAAACCCTAAACCCGAAGCTTCTAGACCCGAAGCTTCTAAACCCGAAGCCTCTAAACCCTAGACCTCTAAACCCTAAACCTCTAAAACCCTAAACGTCTCAACCCTAGACCTCTAAACCCTAGACCTCTAAACCCTAAACCCCTAAACCCCTAAGCCCGACATCCTGAGGCGCTGAGCCCCGAAACTTCAAATCCCCCCACGCCCTGAACCCTAAACCCTAAAGCCCCCAAAGCCCCAAGCCCTCAGCCCTAAAAAGCTGAACCCTAAACTTTAGGGTTTAGGGTTTAGGGTTTAGGGGTTTAGGGTTTAGGGTTTAGGACCCTAAAGGCCCCCAAAGCCCCAAACCCCCCAAAGCCCTAAACCCAGGTCCGTCAGCCTTGCCCTGGCCCTGGCTGGGCGACAGAAGATACGAACAGCTGGGTTCCTGTGCATCGCCCGGGCCCCAAAACGCCTCGTTTCTTTTTCAAGGAGTTGGGTTTCAGGGTTCAGGGTCGAGGGTTGCGGCTTTAAGGGCTTGGGGCTTGGGGATTCGATGTAGAGGGTTTCAGGTTTAGGGTTTGGGTGGTTTAGGGTTTGGGGGTTGAGGTTGTGAATCGAAGCAGAGCACGCGGACATGGGTCACTGCCAGCATGGCAATGTCGAGTGGACTGAACCCTAAACCCAAACCCCAAATCTCGAAAACCCTAAGCCCCCAAGCCCTAAACTCGTTGCACTCTAAACCCCTCAACCCCCAAACCCCTAAACTCTAAACCCCAAACCCCTCGAACCCCCAAACCCCTAAACTCTAAACCCCAAGCCCCTGAACCCTAAACCCCTAAACTCTAAGCCCAAAACCCCTCAACCCCCAAACCCCTAAACTCTTTTCAGCCAAAACCCTCAACCCCCAAACCCCTAAACTCTATTCACCCTAAACCCCTCAACCCCTCAACCCCCAAACCCCTAACCTCTATAACCCCAAAACCCCTCAACCTCCAAACCCCTAAACTCTAAGCCCTAAACTTTAAACCCTAAACCCTAAACCCTAAACTCTAAACTCTGAACCCTAAACCCTAAACCCCAACCGAACTCCTAAACTCTAAACCCAAGAGCAGACGCAGGCCCAGATCCTTGGAGCTATCACCGCCGTTGCGATGTGCACCAAGGCGGGTCACGAGGGGCACAGTTTCAGCGTGCCGTAATATGTAATTTGGGTTTAGGGGTTAGGGTTTAGTGTTTGCCGTGGAGAAGCGCGTTGGCGAAAATTTTTGGCAACAGCGCGGCTTCGGGTGTACCGCAGCGTGGCGATTAGCTGCTCTAGCCCGATGGTGGTGGGGCCTGTTTATTTTCACCCACCCCACGCCGTCTGAGGCAGCCAAGCCACCCAAACCTATTCCGTTTAGGGTTTAGCTCTAAACTCATTCTCATTAAAATTTTCCCTGTCTGGAAGCTTTCTTTGTTAAGGCATTGCGTCATTGGGCAGCGCCGGGCAGCAAGGGGGTAGGGGCCAGAAACCAGAGGGGCATGAGCAGGCTAGGGCAAAGGCAAACAGAGGGCAAAGACGCGAAAAGGGCAGGGCAGGGAACCCTAAACCCTAAATCCTAAATCCTAAACCCTAAACCGGGCAGGGGCAAGGAGGCGAGCGAGAACAGAGGTCGAGGGGCTCAAGCGCCGCCCCCTCACTGTAGGGGCGGCTTAGGCCTTGAGATTAGGGTTTAGCCCTCGGACCGGACATTGCGCTTCAGAACACGACATAATGTAGACCCTTTCCCACAGAGCATCCATGTCCCAACCATGATAACGTCCACGGAGACTGCATCGCTCGACAGAGCATCCATGTCCCAACCTTGATAACAAATGCTCTTCAACATGTACAAGATTATGTTGTTGACAAAAGGTCTGCACTTTGGGTGGCGCAATCACAACAGTTGATTGCGGGATTTGTGCAACTGAGGGGACGTGCAGCTTAAGAAAACTCCTAAGAAAACTCTTCTCGCAACGGCACCCCGCCCGAGAGGTGATGCATTAGGATGTAGAATGTAGTTTTGAATAAGACATCATCCTGACATGATAACTTCTGTTAACCATCGCAAAGACGATTGATACGGTATTTACCAGGGTTTCCCACTTCCCAACCTACTTGGTCTTATGGGTGTGCGGCATGACGCGTGGTCGGAGCGTTTAGGGATTGGGCTTTAGGGTTCAGGGTTAAGTTAAGGGGTTCTGAAGAAAACCTTAAAAAAACCCTAAATCCCACAGTCCTCAGCCCTCCACCCTTAAACCCTGAAGCCTCTAAGCCCTACACACCCTAGACCTCAAAGAGCTTCGCAGGCTGGTATCGCCAAAGACGTCACACTTGGACCGATTCTGGGGCACAACTGGTTCCAGGCAACTAAGGGCTTTCGGGGCTTCTCTTCCCTACCTTTGGTTAGTAGGGAATAGAAGAATGGTAGTAATGGTACTTATAATAGTTCCCATTCCTCCATTCCCTACTAACCAAAGGTAAGCTTCCGGCTCTGCCACTCCAGACCTCCAGGTGGCCTTGCTGGAAACCCTCTACGCCACCATGATGTGCGCTTGCCCCAGTCATGGCCTCCTTGTGACCCCTAAGCCCTAAAGCCCTAAAGACCTAAAGCCCTAAACCCTAAAGCCCTAAACCCTAAGCCCTAAAGCCCTGAACCCCTAAACCCCTAAACGCTAAACCGAATCCGAGCCCCAAATGCCGCTCCCCTGAGGCATCGTCTATCTCAACTGTGCAGCCTCCACGAAGAACAACCCAAAGGGTGATCAGAATGGCGGAAGCCTTGGTTTGTTGAGATGCAGCGCCCCTACATTTCTGAGCCCCAAACCCTAAACCCTAAACCCGAAACCCTAAACGCTTCATCAAACGTTGCGATTTGCAGGATTCGTGGGTCTGGCCTACGGCTTGTGTACCTTGGTCCGCAATGGGAAAAGAAGCTGTGAGCTTTTGATGAATGTCCAAACCTCTTTAGGGGGGACCCTTGCTCTGATTTCCTCATACTTTCCTCAAAGGAGACGTAGGATTCTAGCCAGCCTTGTCATGCTTGTGACGTTGGGGATTGTTTGCAGGACTTGACCCAAACCCCAAAACCCTAAACCCTAAACCCTAAGTGAGGTTACCTGGCCAGCCACAATGCTGCAACCGGAGTCTGCAAGACAGTGCCGGCCCTAGCATCGCTGTTCCCAAGGCTTCGTGACTCGAGTGGCGACACTATTCCCCAAACCCTGTACCCTAAACCCAACCAACTACCCCTTGATGCAACTAAGGTTACCAACTCAGCCATCTCGATCGCGCTGATCGTGTGGGGGCAGAGTGACTCCGTATCATTTGGGCAAGGCCCGGTAGGATGGAGGAAAGCAGACCTTGCTCCCAGCACTTCAGAGTCTTCAGAGTGTACCTTGGTTAGGGTCATTCCTGATGTGAGCGAGGATCCCGACGGTAGGTATAGGATTGAGGGAATCTTCTTCAAAGGATTTGAGTGCTTGTGAGTTCTTGGAATTTCTTGGATTTCGAGATTCGCCTTGTGCAGGCGTGGGCTACTTCTTCTACGACCTGCCGGATGCTGAGCCGACGCGCAAGCTGTTCTAAACACTACACCCCTAAATAAACACAAGCCCCGAGAATCCTAAGTTTTAGTGTAGGGTTTCTACGCCTTGAACTTACGCCCGAAGTCCTTCAGACCTGGCGGAAAACACATGAGGTCTGAAACATCTGCACCCCAAAGCCTCAAAGCTTTAAAACCCTTAAACCCTAAGAGGGTTCAAGCCCTAGAGCTTAACAGTTTAGGGTTTAGGGTTTACTGAAGACCCAACACCTCGAAACAGACCTGGACGCCCAAGGTTAGGTGCATTCCTAGCAGCTGGCGCCTTCCGTGTCGTGCGACCCCATGCAGGGCCCTCAGGGCCTGAAAAGAGGCGAGGCTCGCTTGGGGTTTAGGGTTTAGGGTTTGGGGTTTAGGCTTTAGGGTTTGCGGTTTAGGCTTTGGGGGTTTATTAGGCCTTTGGGTTTAGGGCTTGGGGTCGTTGGGTTTTCTATGAGGGATGGGTTTCTACAAAGGCTCGTATGAGGGTTCATGGGTCCTGAAACTAAACACTCCAGCAGCCTGGCAAGGTGACTTTCTAGGTGGTTGTTAAAAATGTTCGGCGCTTATACATGGTGTAGCCCGCAATCACGGGCGTTTGGGTCCTCTATAGGTACCATCATGGTCTTAATTCGGATGCTTCATCGCACATCGCAGCTAGGCTTGTTGACAGTACTACTGTTGATGATAAATATCCTGCATTGCCTTAAGGACCCTAAACTATGGGAATAATGGTACATTCCTTATTCTGGGTAATGCAGGATTTATATCATCAACCGTATCAAGGGTCGGGCTGCCTCGGGCCTAGACAAAGGTTTGTCTGCAAGTACAGGCGAAGCCTTGCGCAGGGTTTAGGCATTTAGTGCTTAGGAGTTTCGGGTTTGGGGTGTTAAGGGTTCAGGGTTGGGGGATTCAGGGGTTTAGGGTTTTGGCTGTCAGCTGGTAAAGACGCCTTGCGCCGAGGAGTTCCTCAGCGGCTCATCGGAAATAGAGGACACCTTGCAGTCGCGTGTCGGGTTGGGAGCGAGCGACTTAGAACTCCTTCAGTTGATTGTCGGTGTTATTAGGACTATGAGTCTGAGTACCTGCTGCTGCTGCTGCTGCTGCTGCTTCTGCTGCTACATCACCAGACTATTGTGATCGTACTGGACGTGCAAAGACATCAACCAAGACATCTAGTATATGAGTATGGGGGCTTCAGTCAGTAAGGGAAGGGAGCCTCACGTACAACCGTAAACATGGGATCTCAACACACATAGCCCGAGCAGACCGCTGCATCCAAACCCTAAGCCGGATGAGGACAACATCCTGGAGAGTGCTCCCTTGGCCGCCGAGTTCACCGGCACTTTTTTCGTCGTGCTGACACAGGCCTCGAAAGCCTCTAAGCTAAACGCCGCTCCCTGGAGGCCTCGAGGCCTCGCAGGAACTTCGGAAGCAGCTTCTCAGGGTTTCTAGGGTTCAGGGACTCGGTAAACGGGGTGCAAGTAGTGCGTGCAAGCTTGCGTCAGCATCTGCTACCTGCGGCCAAGTTACGAAGTCCCCCTGATCCTCCAAAGTATGTCTGGGCTGCGGACATGGCCTGCCAGATTTGCACGAAGATGTCCAAGCTGGTGGAACACGACATGGGTCCACAGGCGGGGGGTGCTGCTGTCAACCCTCAACTGGGTTGCTGTGCAGGAACCTAATTTAAGTTACCATTAATGGAGATATCATAGCAAATAACAGGCTTTCCCTATTATAGTAATGATAGTAGTTATAGTAGTTATAGTAATTATAGTAACTATAATGATTGTAGTGATTATAGTAACTCAGTGTTTGAGTTCTTCAAGAAGCCGCGTCAACCTCCAGTCACAGAGTGCAAGCCCTTTGCCCGAAACCCCCGTTGCTCGCTGGCCAGCGGTGTGAAGGCGTGAATAAGCAGTCCAAGAAAAGCACATCCCAAGCCCCCAAACCCTCAGGCCCAAAACCTAAATCCTGAATCCTCCAGTTTTCGACCCTAAATTCTAAATCTCGAAGCCCTAACTCTAAACCCTAAACCCGGCTCAAGCCATTTTGGCTCAAGCCCAGGCCATTTTGGCTCAAGGCCCCCTGGAACGCTGCTGGCCCGTAGACGGGTTGCATCCCTGTGTTAGCTTTGCTGCAATTGGTCTGTGGCGGAGGTTGGTTAGGTGGCGGAAGGACATCGCCCGGGGGCTGCTCATTTACCTGATTCGGGAGTTCTTCGGAGACATGGCGGGAGGGCTGGTGGGCACCATCCGATGCGAGTTGACTTGGCCCAGAAGACGCCAGGGAAGCCGAGGCCCGGGGATCTGACCACCCACAGAAACGGGTCAGCCTGAGGGTCAGGTCATTGTGGATATGGCGCAGCTAGCTGCCTTGCTCGAGGCCACCGGCAACAAGATTATGAAGGCCCAGCACGAGCACCTTGAGGCACGGATGGGGGCCTTGGAAGAGATCACTGGGAAGAGGACGGGCCGAGGAGAAGGTGAGCAACTTGAAAGCGAAGCTGGACGAGCTCAACAACAAGCTCCAAAGGGGAAAGGACGGAGGGGGAGCAGCTGGACCTGAATGACGATTCACCTTGGTCTTTGGAGGCTGGCCTCGTGACTCCAGGCGCAAGGACATACTCCACCAGCTTCAGCGTGGACTTCAGTGACTGAAGGTGTCGGACTTAGTGGACAACGATTCCTTCTGCACTGGACCACGACGGTCGACAGCACTCAGTGTCTTTCAGCCTTGGGGAGCCGAAAGCGAGCATCAGGTGAAGCGGCGCATGCATGAGATCATCAACGCTGTTTCGGACAACGAAGTCCTGCTGCCTGGAGGGTTAAAAGCAAGCATGAAAGGGACATGGACTCCCACACGTCCTGGGTAACAAGGACAGTGGCGGGCTTGTGTTGAGTACCACACGGGCATCTCTGACCTTGTGGATGGATTGGAACGGGATGTTTTGCTTGTGATCCAGGAGACTGCCCCCGGGGAACCCGGGTGGCAGCAGACGAACCTTGATGCATGGAGGACTGTGACACTCAAGGCTTGTCTACAATGCGAACTGCTGGCAAGTGCATACGCGAAAAGCGATGCTGAAGGGCACCCGGTTTAGAGTTCCGCATGTGAGTGATGATGAGCAGTGGGTGGGGTCGGCACACTTCACGCTAGGAACAGGCCAAAGCGTGCATTCTGCAGAGGTGGCGGCGCACCGCAAGGTCTTGCCGCCTACACACCTGCCCATGCTCTGGAGGTGTGATGTGAATTCGATTCTGACCTGGTATGTGGATCAGACGGGATTGGAAGTGCCTGCAGCGAACAATGGTAAAACGTCAGAGTTCCTCCCCAACGCTGTGCCCGAGGATTGCACCCGGTCCCGCCGAAGGAGATGGATTTCCGGATGCCCACAAGCAGGCCACAGGGCCATCTGCGAATCCATCAGCGGTCGCATGCTGCCTTGAGCCCGGATGTGGGGGTCACACGTGATGCTGGCAGGGGAGAGCGGCGGAATAGTCGCGATCATCCGGCCAGTACAGCTCGAGGCAGCAGCGATCGAGGCAGGCCACGCAGAGATACGCAGAGGGCACGGCGACTGCAGAGACCGAGCGAGGCGCGTTGCACACATGAAACCCGGCGACTCCTTCCAACCCAATCGAGACCATCTTGGCCGAGACCCATGTCGATTCAGGATGCCAGCTGCTTTTGGCTCCATCTGTTGGGTCTACGAACGGCGGTGGATATCGACACCTCAAGAGCATTCATTGGCTAGGAGTGGCCGCGATGAGCGGGTTACGGCCATGCTGTGGGTGGAGTGCTCGCAACTTGTCATGCATCACCCGACGATGCAGAGCGAGGAGGTCGAGGCGACGGTCGACACGGAGGAAGAAATCTGGATGCAGACCACGCAGCCTGTGAAAAGACTTCGGGTAGCATCGAACAAGATCATCGACCTTGAGGTGGAGGAGATGGCTCAGAACGAAAAGCAGAGTGCTGAGGAACGTGCCCAACATAAGCCAGAAAAAGCAGCACACGAGGTGGACGAGGTGATCCAGGGGGAAGCTGATGAAGCCCTGTGGAGAAGCCATGAAGCTGCTGCTTTCCGAGATTGGGAGCAGTGGACAGTGCTGAGCACGCCACCAAGCCTCGCCGACTTCGTGCCACAGTGGTTGTTCAGCATGGGGATTGTTGTGAGAGCTTGTGTCTGGCCAAAGGCCGTCCAGTGGAACTGAAGATTAAGTTGGGGGAGGTCGCCAGACACGGGGGCCAGTAGCTCGGCGGTCCCGCCTCCACCACGCCCCCCCCCCCCACCAGCACAGCTACGTCCCGTGGACAACTACATGCACTGGTGATGCGGTGAGTTGAATGACGAGGCCGTTGGGGAACAGCTGGGGGGGATATGGTCGGCCTTCTCTACTCTCAACCATTGGTGGATGAGGACCGTGGTAAAGATGTCCCGGACACTTTGGAGGATGGCGAAGCAGGGTCTCGAATCACGGATGATCAGGAGGGCGATGTGGGACAGGGGGTTGTGAATACGTTGTCAAGGGCACTGGCAACAAGGACAGAACCGAACATGGAAGAACCGAACGTGGACAAATCCCTCGACTATGGTTTCTTTTGTCCTGAGGAGTGTAAGTGGCCTAATTGGGCTGTTGTTGCCTTCGGATCTCTAGCTCTGCGAGTTGGAGAAGAGGCGCTTTAAAAAAAAGGCCCTAAACCCGAAGCCCCGGACACCCCTAAACGCTTCATCCCTATCCCTGCAAGGCATTTGGGACTGCAGCCGCAGTGATCTCTATGGTATATGCCTGCTCCCTATGTTGCTGCTCGTGGAAAGTAGGGTATAGGGTTCTGTGTAGGGTATGCGGTTATAGGCGAATCTAAAGGATCTTCAGGTTCAGGGTTCAGGGTTGTGGCCGTGGAGTGGTGCCCGGGAAGGACATGATGCATGGCTTCCGAGACATATTTCAGTGCCTATTGCAAGTCTCCATGTAGTTTCAGAGCCGTATGGAGAAGCAGGACCCCAGCAGACTTTCAATGGCAGGGATTCCCGCTTAGGGTTTAGGTGTAGTGTAGGGGTTGGGGTACCCTAGCAAGCCTACTCAGTCACCTAGTCTCAGTAGCACAAGCCTCGCCGGCAGCTTCCGACTCGCCGAACATGGCGGCCAGCGATGCGGACGCAGCTCGGGACGATGACTCTGCGACGGATCCGGAGATGCCCCCTTTGATCCCCGTCTCCCCAAAACCCCTGCCCGAACCGAAACGGGCTCCCAAGCTGTCAGCGCTGCAGCAACTTCGCAACCGAGCCCGGGGCAGAGGCCGCGACGGCCGCCTCGGGGGTCGCGGTCGGGGCCGTGGGGGCGCCGCCAAAGCGCTGCCCAAGAAGTTTCCAAGACTTGCTCTGAAGGATCTGCCCCCGATTTTCGCCGGCGCCGGCGCTCTCGGTGCCGGCCCCTTGCAGACTGTGGAGTTCGGAAAGCGGGCTGGAGATCTGGCCGCAGCCCTGGACAAGATCACGTCGCCCGCCCTGGCTGGCCTTGCTGAGGACCCCGAGCCGGAGCTGCCAAAGAAGCGATCCCGTCGCTACAGCCTGGAGGGGTCTTTGGAAGAAATCGAGGTGGGACTTTCCAAAAAAAAAAACCCAAGCTATAGACTATTTCTATGAAAGTAAGATCCCTTCTTCAAGCACGCCCAAAAAAAGGAGACCCGACCGTTGAGAAGCCACCCCGAAGGTTTCCAAGGAAGCAAGAGCAAAGGCAGCTGCAAGCTTGGACGAGGAGTGGGGCTCAAGGGTTTAGGGTTTAAGGGTTTAGGGGCTTGGGGTTTGGGGTTCAGGGTTCAGGGTTCAAG